TAATAATTATAACTCAATGTTAACTATTATAGGACAGATAATATGATGTATCCTTTAAAATATATTAGATAAGTTATAGTTTTTCAAGTTATTAAGCACATTCAGTTGTTTTCATTTTTAACAATAGACACAATTATTTATTTTTAAAACTATACTAAGTAGTTACTATCACCCACATTTGTTGGTCCTGGAGATACAGCAGTAAACAATATAAAAAAGGACCCTATCCTAAAGGATAGACAATTGAGAATATTTAAATTAAAAAAAAGATATTCTCAGAGTGTGATAATTTCTTTTAAAGAAATAAAAGAATGACTTTTCTAGAGAATATTGGTTGATGTGACTGTAGGGTGAGAAGATGTTGCTGTAGATTGGACAGTCACTTCCAAAAGGAAGCAACTTGGGCTAAAGTATACATTGTGAGAATAAATCAGTTATGCTGAGAGGCATAGGGATAGGAAGATGTAAAAGTCACACAGAAGGAAAAATGAAAGGTAGAGGGAAGAGTATAACTCAGTGGTAGAGTGTGTGCTTAGCATGCATGAGGTCCTGGGTTCAATCCCGAGTTCCTCCATTGGAAAAAAAAAAAAAAGTCATACAGAAGGAATGAGCTTGCTCTTCAAGGAACAGAAAGAAGGCCAGCGTGGCTTGATATGGGACAACCAGGACCAGCTTGGAGAACAAGTTAGGAGTTTCCACTGAAATACCGATTTATAACAACTAAGAGCATTTAAACATTGATATAAATGTATTCAAGGGGAATTTTTGCTTAAAATCCAAACTGACGCTAGATACTTCTGCCTTCTATGGGGTGTGAGTGTGGGGAGAGCGGTGTGCATTTGTGTGTGTGTGTGTGTGTGTGTATTTGGGCATGAATATTTCTTAAGAGTTTAGTAAAACTTTCCTGCACTCCTCACCTCCCCTTGTAGAGACTGGGGAAGGACAGAGAATGGTAGTAACTGAAGCAGATGCTTAGAATTATGTTGTGAATCTTTACATGTGCCCTGGAAACTGCGAGCTGAGTTTGGGGTTGGAATTATCCTATCAAGGAAAAGAGGGTGTTCGGTCCATGTGATATATGGCTGGGGGCCAACACACTTTTAAGTAGAGAATCACCAACGTGCAGAATCAGGTCATTGCTATGTAAACTGTCTCAGTCTTGCCAAACTTTCAGTAAAGTCAGCTCCACTGAAAGATAAATTTTTCTGAGCAGATTTGCTTTTTTTTTTTTTTTAAGGAATGAAGGAAAAGGGTTGAGTTCCATGTTTGAACTCATGCAAAGCAGAAAGGATGAAACTGATACAGGAGTGGGACTCAAAATCCTGTGAAATCTGGTATTTGAGGCCAGAAGATACCATGAAAATATATATCTGCAGGAATGCACAGAAATCTTAGGAAGACAACTGGGGTGGGTGGCTTTAGCTGGCATATAAGTTACCATTATTTATTTGTGCATTCATATTCTGTATCTCATCACTATGAGAAAAAAATAATTGGAGGAGGGAGACAGAAAGAGAGACTAACTTCTTTCTTGGAAAGGATACGTGTTCATGATACCAAAACATCCAATGGGGGATAAAAAAGTGTTAGTGTTTAATATGAAGTAGTCAAAATAATTGGCTCACTGGTTAAGTTTTTCACTTCCCAACCACTTGCTATGGCATAACATAGACACGGTTCAAAAATAAATATTTAAGGGTAGAACTACACTTACTTTATTCTAAATTCTGAAAAGTTCATAAACATGTTTATACTTTTATCAGCAAGAATCCATGGGAATGACTTGTCCCATGTGCCCTAGGATTCTGGAGTTTTAAGTGGGCCAGAGTTTTGAAGTGTTGAAAGATATTATAAAGCACTTACAAGTATTCAGCTGGTCAGACTGCTCAATTAACTGAACATTTATAAACCTCAAATTTTTGACAGAGCATGATTCATGTAGGAACGACCCTTGGACAACAGATGGCTTTATTGTAGGTATGCTTGAGAGAAAGCATACAAGGCAATGTGATTTGGAGGAAATAAAAATGGAACTTAGAAAGCAAAATTGAACTTAGAAGCATGGGTTGCACTCTTAAAAAAGGAAATTATTGAAAACTTCAGCTGATATTTTTTGATAGAGTGTTTTAAAAAAATGTTTACTTAAGAATATTCAAGACATTCATTTATGGGACATACCACTAAAAAACAGAACATAACTAATATCTAGTTAATATCTAGGCAACTCATACTAACTCATAATACAAACCTCAATTAATTATTTAGAAAACAAAGTAATAGGGTTTGTGGAGTAAGAACTGAAATGCTAACTAAAATGCTAAATCCACAGCATTTTAGCTTCTTTCTTTCCCTTTTCTATTCTTTTCTTTTTTCTTTTTTCGGTAGCTATGGGCTGCTTATATTTTGGTGAGTGTTTTAAAGAAGTATTTATTCAAAGCTATATTTTAGAATATTTTTACTACTAAAATATATCAAATTTTAATTAAGAGGGTTTTATTAGTTTTCTAAAGGAGAAACAAAAGATGACGCGTTCATCTAAATAGAAATATTACTTTCAGGTATGAGCAGTTCAAAAAAAAATCAAGTTAATATTACATAGAAATTCACTTTGGACAACGAAACATCAGATTCTAAAGAATGCTTTACACGAATCCATAGAATAAATGCAAAATTTTCTTCTCATGTGAAGCCAGTTATGTACAAATTATATTGGTGCAACTCTTTCCTTTCTTTTCCCTTCCTTTCTTTCTCTCTTTCTCTCTCTCCCGCCCCTCCTTTTTTAACTTCCTAGTAACACAAATCTACTCACATTAGTAGGAAAAAAATTTCCTGGAACTGAGCAAGTAAACAATTTCTCCTAGAGGAAAAAGAAAGGAAAAGAAAAAGAAAGGAAAAAAAACCCCACAACTTCAAATAAAACAACAACAAACCCCTAAATTATATAACGGCAACTTCTCTCCAAGGAGGAGCTGCAAACACAGAATCGTAAGGATCACGTCAAACAGTCTCATGACATCCTGTGACGTAAAAAGAACAGGTACTGGTACCCTTCCGCCTTGAAGCGTTTCTAGGAGAGTGGCTATCCCACGCCAGAGAGGAGTGCTGCCAGTGAGTAACTTTCCTCTTCCCCGAGTCCCGCGGCCCTGAGAAAGTGAGCCGGGGGCACCGGGCGCGCGGGCTCAGCTCTCCATCCCGCGCCCAGGCTGAGACGTGGCTCCTGACCCGCCAGCGCTGCCCCAGCTCCCTGGGGACCCGCGATCGGGGGGAGGGGAGCCGGTGCTCCTGGCTCTGCCCGCGCTCACCGCAGAACTGCGTCCTCCTAGCCACTTAGAAGAGCTGCCCATCCGTGGTTCAGGAGGGCCAGGGGCAGTGTATGAAAGTGATTAGATTTTCTACACTTACTCCTCCCATTTTATAGACGGACAGCCAGACTTCTGACTATACCAAATTGGCAACAGGTGAAAATAGAACACAGTCCTTGAAATTCAGTACTCATTACTTCCTCTCGACTGCTACTTAATTATTAAAGGCATAATAAAGGATTCCTAATGATCAACTTTTCTAAAATAAATATGAAAAAAATTAACAATGAAAAACCAGTAAGGAAACAAAAAGGAATTAGTTTATACATTTCCCCCCCTTTACTTAGTCATTTCCCCCTTAACACTATTAAGCAGGAGACAATTTTTGCAGACTAGTCATTCTTGACAAACTTACACAAACTGTAAATGTGCACTCTAATATTCTTGTGCTTAGCTGGTCCTTATTACAATTCTGGAGAGTAAATTATTATTTTTTTATTATCCTCATTTTATAGATGAACTTGAAGTTCCAAGAAAATAATTTATCAAAAATCAAACTGCTGGGAGAGGGTATATAGCTCAGTGGTACAGCACATGCTTAGCATGTATGAGTCCTGGGTTCAATCCGCAGTACCTCCATTAACACATACATACATGCATGCATACATACATACGTACATAAATCTAATTACATCCCCCAAATCAAACTGCTGAACAGACTACAGTTAAATTTAAATACAGAACTTCTGACTCTAAATTACATTTCATTTCCTTTAATCATGCACCTATAACTAATGAATCTAAGTGTTTTTCTAAAAAATAATTCATTATAAAACCTGTTATCAGCCCAACAGGGACACATGCTAAAAGTATAATTCTTGAGTAATTTTCAGAAAGACCTTATAAAAATGTATCAGTGCACTGAAGATCATTGTTTACACATGCAAAATACTTTTTTCAATGTACACAATTTGAATGACCCAATAAATCAGAAAAAGATCATACTTTAACGTCTTAGACATTCACTATTAATTTCTTAACCCTTTTCTTTAGACATTTTTTTCTTTTTATGGTTTGAAGAATGAGAAAACCCGGTAAGAAATTCAGCTGTTACAAGAAAAACTAAACTAAAAGAAGAAATCAAGAGTGAAAATGAAAGACAGAAATCTAACAATGGCACTAGTTTCCTTTTATCATGTTGATTTAGTAGAGGGGAATAATGAAATATTGTGCTAGATGGGTACAAATATTATTTGTATGATATAAATCATTAGTAAATATTATTTATACAAGAATGAGCTAAAATTTGGCATTGGCTAAAAATGTTGTCCACTAATGAATTTTTAAACAAATGCAACACACATTATTACTAATAGAAAATACAATTAAAATGCAGAACACAGTTAACTAGCAAGCATATAATAGTCCACAAATTACTTACAAGGACACGTTAAGCCCTGTGGAGGCTTCTGCTGTCTTCTTCCCGTGAGATATTCGTTGGCACAGTATGGATGTTTTTTGCCCTCCTGCTAAATGCTCCATGACTTTCGTACTAAGACTGAATGTAAATTATTTTGGTCAAATATCAGAACTGTCATAATTATGATTTTGAGTCTCATGCAAATTAATTACAACGTCAAGCAGTGACACAGACTAAAATAGCAAGAGCTGCTGGTGATCTAAAACGACTCACAGCATGTCCCAGCGAGTACTTGGCCAGGAGCACATGTCGCTTAAAAAAAGCACATAACCCTTTAGACCCAACAGTCAATTAAGGCCTTGGTAGAAATGTCAACCGTTAAGTATGAAAAGACCTTTCAATTATTTATATACAATCTTCCTCTAATTAGTGAGACCTGATTTTATTTTTTTTCCCCCTTCTTTTCTCAAACAGGACCATATGGGATCATGTTTGGAGGGCAGCTGCTTTGTTAAAGAAAGAGAAAAAATGAGAGTGAGAGTGAGTGAGAAAGAGAACGAGCAAGAAAGACAGACAGGTAGTTTTTCTCGTCAAGTATACCCATGATTCTTCTAGAGTTGGGATGAGTAAATGCCTATCAGCTTAGCAGTCTTTAAAGATTTGCAAGGAACTTTGCCAGGGGCTCTGCATTGATGATATAAAACAATAAGACATTTTCAGAAGGGTCTGGCAAAGTATAAACATAATCAGAGTCTGATGTTGCAGGCTATCGATGCCTGGTTGGAATAAGTGCGATCCTCTACTCTACCTTTATTTGATTGTTGTGTTGCTTGTTGACTAACTATAATAGGACTTTAAAATATGTATATTGATTTAAATATGCTATAGTCAAATGGTTGGCTTTTTTTTCTTTTTTATTGAAGTATAGTCAGTTTACAATGTTGTGTCAAATTCTGGTGTACAGAATAATGTTTCAGTCATACACATATATATACATATATTCCTTTTCATATTCTTCTTCATTATCGGTTACTATAAGACATTGAATATAGTTGCCTGTGCTGTACAGTAGAAACTTCTTGTTTATCCAAGGATATCTTTAACTTACTTTGTAAAGCAGTTTTGAAAGGATTTTGAAATACTTGAATAGAATTGACTCTGGAAAAATGTAAATCCTGTCCAATCTCTAATATCAGTCTGTAGTCGAAGTATCTTTGGAACATGGTTTGGGAAAATTTTCATAAGAGTGAATGCTCATTTTTATTCCATTAAAATTGACAGTAATAACATAATAAAATTTCATTTTGCTGAAATTCTAGTTTTACTTCTGGATTTGAGAATATCAGCCTCTGGAGTAATGAATATTAAGTATCTTTCTAACTGCATTAACTCCATAATATAACTTTAAAAGTGTTTTTAGGTAGTCAAATTATGAGTAGAGACTTGGACTCATTTATATGTTTAAAAGTAGAATTAAAAAACATATTGACTTTCAGAACTTGATTTACTTGTATTTATTCATTTAAAAATATTAACTTGGAATTTGCACATGGGGATTTCCAAATGAGGTAGCAGGCATATGATATTTCTCCAGCAGTTTTTACACTGTGCGAACAGTAAGTAAGAAAGAGTGACATAAAAGAAAACACTAAGAACTGTTGGGGAGGGGTGGCTATAGCTCAGTGGTAGAGTGCATGCTTAGCACTCCTGGGTTCAATCCCCAGTACCTCCATTAAAATAAATAAATAAGTAAATAAAAACCTAATTACCTACCCCCCCCAATTAAAAAAAAAAAGAATTCTAAAATAAAACACTAAGCATTCACAATTTTGTTTCCGTTTATCCTGACATTGTTATTTAAGCGAAACTGTCTAAACTTAAAATCTAAGCATAGGATACAAGAGCCCAATAGTGCCCTCAGTCATCTGCATGTGGCTTTCATTCAAATAAGAAGCAACTTCACAAGCCGAATACAGGTAACTATCCCAAGAAATCCATCTGAATTTCCTGTATCATGATATGAAGATAGACCCCAACTAAGAAAACCCAAAACTAAAACCAAAATATCCAGGTAAAGTCAGAACTTACATGGAACAGCTTCTGCCAATCAATAAGAATCCTCTTGTGTTAACGGAGTGGAACAAAGGATTCTATTAATTCAGTTGTCTGGGCAGGAATGTAGGCTCTCAAGAACCTATGAGTATGTTCAGATTTTGTAGGGAAAGGTAATGACTTTCTCTTCCTACTTTCTCACATCCTTAGATTGAGCCACCATGAAGAGAGTGAAAACACCGTAGAAGAGTTCAGTCCTGAAGTGGGCAGAAAGAGGCTGAACTTGAAAAACTCATACCCCCGGGGCCTCCAGTGTTTTTTGATACAACAAGCTTCAGTACCACCCACAAGCTTGTGTAAACTCACAAGGGGCCACAGCTTTTGACAGACTTTATGAAGACCAGGTCAACTGGTTCAGACAGCCTCTTTTTCTCTCAAGCTCCGAGATGAGTTACCTGCCTTCTGTCACATGTCTTCTGTCTCCTTTTTGCCATTAGCTACTTCTAGTTGGGAGAAAATTTTCCCCAGTCCTGGAGCTGTCAGCTAAATAATTCTTGACTCCTCTATTCCTACCACATAAGTGAAATCAAGGAATCACAGTGTCATTCAACACTAGAGTCATTCAAATTACAAGGGTTGAAGAATGGTTTCCTTATAGCTAGCCTCCATGATTTATTCCATATTCCTCCCATTTAAGTCCATGCTATATACCAGAAAGATTTTCCTAAAATGAAACATTTCCTATTTTTTCAATTTCCTCTTCTATTTTAAATCTTGGTTCCTCATTACTTATATCAATAAATAATGTGATTCCAAATACAGCATACCCTCCAAAAAATCATGAAATACCCTTATCCTTCAATATACTAGACTTGCTCTTTCTAAAACATCTCCTGAAGAAGGTCTGCTGAATTGGGGCTCTTTTTCTTAAACAACTTCAACTCACTTTTGCAGGCAAAGATGGAACTAAAAAATTGCCAACTGGTATGAGAAGAACCTGATTTTGAGGAGAAGGGGAAAAAGACAAAAGGAGAGAAGAACCATGGAAATGGAGAAGAGGAGAGAAGGCAAGATTTCTCTGATAGTTACAACAATAGCCTTGCAGGTGCCCAATACCTACAAGGATAACGGGGGACAGGGATAAGAGGGATAAGGCAGAATGGTCACTCACAGGGCCAGCTTCCTGGACATGTGATCTGTGCAGTTGCATTGGGTCCCACACTCAGAAGGGCCTTGCACTTGGTTTAATGTTCTTCTGTCAGCGTCTTGAAATTCTTGATAATTTTACTTTTGACCTTGTGTTTTACAATAATGCTCTATATGTGTGTCCACTGTTCCTTGCCACCCTGTAAGCACAGAATTCTGGTGGACTCACAATGTGTGGGAGTTCATTGAGACTTTGAGTACAAGCTAAATGTGTCATGTCTACACCTGAGTGAGCAGGGTGCTGACAACTCCAAGAGGCCATGCTTTTCTTGGAAACTAGAACATGCTTTGAATGCAGAAAGAAAGCATTGATGCTCTAAGAAACACAACTACCAAAGGACCCTCTCATGTCTTTTCTTACTGATGTTACTTCCCTGAATTAGCCAACCACTTTTTGCTGGAAATGATGACATAGAAGCAAAGGGAGAAATGGGGCAACTCATAGATCCCTTTCCTTTTAGACTTTCTATAAGCTAAAGATAGAGACTGTTGATAAGCCTAAATGTCCATGGATGGATGGATAAAGAAGATATGGTGGATATATATACAATGGAATACTACTCGGCCATAAAAAGAATGAAATAATCCCATTTACAGCAATATGGAAGAACCTAGAGATGATCATACTAAGTGAAGTAAGTCAGAGAAAGATAAATATCATATGATACCACTTATAAGTGGAATCTTAAAAAAAAAGTAGAAATTAACCTATTTACAAAATAGAAATAGTCTCACAGACAAAAAACAAACATGGTTATCAAAGGAGGAGCAGGGAGAGGGATAAATTTGGAATTTGTGATTAACAGACAGACTACTATATATAAAATAGTTAAACAACAAAAACCTACTGTATAGCATAGGGAACTATATGGGAACTATAGTCACTATCTTGTAATAATCTATAATAGAAAATAATCTGAAAAATAGAGGTATATATATATATAAAACGGAATCACTTTGTTGTACACCTGAAACATTGTAAATCAACTATGCTTCAATAAAAAAATAAAAAATTTTTAAAAAAGAATGTGTGTGTCTTTGGACAAATGAAGTAAAAACTGGTTATGTTTTGTGCAGTGGTTTTGCACACATTCTTAACAAGAATGCATGTATGAGCTATGATATATGAATTTTGTAATTTTGGTGATTTCACATATGAGTCAAATGCTCTTAAATCTGCATCTAAAAATAGCACTGCTCCATATAAAGATGAATGGCAAACTTCATATTAATAATGAACAATTTTAATTTTTCTTTAGTGAGAACATTAAAAGCAAATAAAAAAACCACCATGGCAAGTTGAGAGACACCACAGACACACAGACACCACAGAAGAAACAAAAAAAGCTTCATGTTACAGGACACACATTTAGAACACATTAATAGCACATTTTCTTGCTTTTTGAACAAGCCCCTCGCCCCCGCTATTTCATTTTGCACTGGGCCCCGTAAACCCTGTACCCAGCCCTGCCCCTTCATTACCTCCAATTCTCCTTTAGATTCATAATTGGAATGAATTTATTACTCAAACTTTCTGTAAAGGCTTCTTGATAGGTTTTTCTCTACCTTATGGCTTGAAAAATTAGTTTTAGGACCAGTTGAGGTATGAACTACATACTCCCCTTCTCCCATAATTGGGGTGTAGTCAGAATCAGGGCTGTGGGGAACTGAAAAAGTAGTTCAACGCCTGAGAAAATTTCTCCTAATTTATCACCTTTTCAACAATTTTTAAAGGTAATATATTCACATGACAGTTGTTAGGACCATAGGGAAAAGGTGCCTGAGGACCTCCTGTGAAACACTCAATTGAAATATCAAAGTTCAGAACATGAGATATCTGGACACCGGGCTGGGCTTCTTGAGGACAGAGGCACTTTCTTGAGTACAGAGATGCCAGCACTCAACTCAGTGGCCAGCACAGAGTGAACTCACTGAGGACTGCTTAAGAAAGAAATCCAGAGGCTTCCCTTGGTCCCACAATTTGTAACAGATGTAACTCTGAATATACTGTCCTCCTCAACTATCTTCTAATTTTCCCCCCAGTAATAAAAATAAAGGAAAGGTAGGTAAAACAACAAAGATATGCAGATATAATAATAAGACGGAAAAAACTACTGTCTTCTTTTAAATTTGGGACCTTTTGCCTTGCTAAGAATCTGGAGTGATTGGCGGGTTGGGGGATTGAGCAGAACTGCTCGGCCCCCTAGAAGGGGTGGGGAGAAGGAGGGAGACTGAACTGCAGCCCTGGGGAAGGGGAAAGGGGGTGTCTTCCCAGGCAGCTCAGTAAACAGAGACTCCGTAGAAATGTCTAAAGGAGATATTTCAAATGGTGGTTGGTGGTTTTATGATGAAATTCTCTCTTAGCTTTATCTTGACACGAAGTCTACAGTTTCTTGATGGAAGTGGATTTGCATATTTGAAGAAGGCTGGATCTGGGGTACAGACTGAGATGGGATAGGAGGAGGGGAGGGTTGGATGGAAGCTCTGAGGATTGTGCAATAGCTGACACCAATTTGAATGATACAGATTTTAAAAGATTGTCTTTAGTATTTAAGAGGCTAGGAAATTAGCTAATTTTCCACTCAATATTCTCTTTTCCTGATAACTTCTGGCTCTTCAACTTGACTTCTTTTTGGGCACAAAATCAATTTCCCTCATTCCTTGGTGCCTCTCCAAAGGAAAGAACTAACTCCAGTGTCTCCAGTTTTACCATCTAGCATTTTGTCCGGCAAGTGGACTCCTTGGAAAGATGATAAAAGAGAAATGTCAGTAGAGATACGTGGCAAAGACAGAGAACATTTTCATTATAAGGGGAAAGCCTGTCTCCCTGGCCACCCTCAGTGACCTATTTCCTCCACTCTAAGTATAGAACAACAGGGCTTTCCTCACACCTGCCCCTGATGCTGCCAGCTCTGGGAGATTGAGTGTCTACTCTAATTTAAACTCTACATGTAAACAATATGCCTCAGCCATTCTTTCAACATATTAACATTTTTTTCTTTAAAAAATCACACTAATGATAATTGTTAATGCACAGTATGTGCTGCTCCTTATAAGTTGCTAGGTTTAAACTTCAATTTCCACCATTACTCATAAATGAGGGGAAAAAAAAGTTTTCTTGGTCTGCCTCTGTGTTTTGGACTTTGGCATAGAGTGTCTCAGCTTTGAGAAATTTATTTTCTGGACAGAGCAGCCACTAGTGGTCACTGGCCTCGTGAAGATGAATCACTTTGGTTCCAAATGGAAATCATAGGTAATCACTCACAATACTTGCCTTGTGTTGATTCACGGTACAGTGGCCTTCAAGCCCCAGAGGCCTCACCTGTCCCTGTGGCCTGAAGAAACCATTTGTGGTTTTGATCACGTGTGGTTCTCTGCCTCCAGCTTCCCCTTTCTGGTCAATCCATCACATTCGGACAAAGTCGGCTTTCTACAACACAAATTATGTAGTGCTAGTCCCTGCTTAGAAAGCTTCCAAGACTCCCTACTGATTTCAGAAGAATTCAAATCCCTTAGCATATAAAAGGCCCTTTATTAATCAGGACTCAACCTACCTATCTGGTACTTTCTCTGTCTGCCTCTCCCCTCACCTGTCCATCCTTGCCCTTTCTTTAAATATATTCTTTAATATTCCAGTAATTCTAGTTAGCAGTGATTCATGGGATCAGGGATATTCATTTATTTGTTCATTTAATATTGAACATTAAGCCTTACTTCTTTATTTTTGTACTGATGCAAGGAGAAGAAATTGGTGGAATGCTACCCATTTGGCCAAATGTTGTTTATCCAATTCTTACAGGAGTCATTTGGGACATTTGATAAAAATGCAGATTTTTCAGCACCACCTCAGACCTGAATCAGGATCTTTGGAAATAGACTATGAGAATCTGAACGTTAAGCAAGTTACTCATGTCTATTTGTTCTGCCCTAGAATTTGAGTATTTCATGTATTTGACATTAAAAGCAAAAGCATTTGCCTTATAAGTCATACTATCTGTTTCATCTCAACAATTTCTATGTCTCTCAAACATTACTATCCTGACAATGCTTACCGTACACTGTATTCTATATAGGACATACATTGTCAAGAACAGACAGAGTTCTCCAAGGCTTATTATTGATTGGACAAGAAAGAAAGGCTGAAACTTACCTATAGATATTCTGAAAACTAAAGGAAATGTGCCAGGATGCTCAGGTTTTGTTGGAATTCTATGACTAGAACCGAAAATATTTGATCTTGGAAGCCTTCAGGGAGGTAGACCATTTTGAGAAGAAAATCATTCTGATTTTAGAAAGGCACAAAAACGAAACTTGGCAGATTTGTGAACCCTGATCAAGTTAAGAGTCTACCTTAGTATGTGAAAGGAAAAGAGAGAAGTTAGACATGGAGACGAAACTGAGCCTAGTAGTTAGAAAGATTTAGAAGCACATAAGTAGAGGATTTTGATAGGGAATATATTCAACAATTATTTATTAGATCTGATGTGAGCAGCAATATAGTTCCAAGAAATATAAAGTCATTCAGTGACAATAACTGATGTTCTCTCAACAATTATTTATATATTCACTCAACTGACTCTCAGTATCACTTCCACCCTTCCTCCTCTGAATAGCAGCAATACAATGTGAGGAATTTCCTTTCATTCATGGGGTAGATCATTCTGGCTAAAAGTAACCTTTTCTCTCTTGTCAATGGTTGTTTAAGAAAGGGGCTTATGATCTAATTCTGGACAATGAGATGAGAAGAAATGTTTGCTGGAGGATAATAAAGATACAGGGAACCAATTTCTCTTCCCTGTTGGACAAGAAGAAAGAAGCATACGACTTCAATTTCTGACATGAGGGGAGCTATCTTTGGATGAAACCAACACAATTGTTGAGGGTAAATTGATATGGAAGGAACTTGCTGAATTAACCATCCCAGAAGTCTGCACTACCTTTGCTTGTTTCCTTATATGAACTAATGCATTTCCTTACTTTTTAAGCTTGACTGTTTTTCCCCAGTTTTATTGAGAAGTGATGGATATATATCAGTGTATAAGCTTAAGTCATTCAGCATGATGGTTTATTTACAGATACTGCATTGAATAGTTTTACTTGCAGCCAGATACATCTTAACTGATATATGTGCATAACAATTTTTACATGTCGCATTTGATCCTCAGTAACCTCGTTCAGGATGAATATTCCCTGCTAATAAAAATGGAGAAGAGAAAACTTAAAAGTGAAGAAAATATTTGGGGGATGGGGGGCATTGCTCAGTGGTAGAGCACGTGCCTGGCATGCACGAGATTCTGGGTTCAATCCCTAGTGCCTCTGTTAAGAAGGAAAAAAAGAAAATACCAGAAAGTTTTTTTTTTTTTTTTACCAAAGTCCAAGCATGAGGATGGGGATTTAGAAATATACAGTGTGGAAGCAAGCTAACAATCACTGAGTGTCTTCTGAATGAAAATCACTCTAAGCACTTCACAGGTTACCTAAGTTTAATTTTTATAATTCTACAAGTTCGATATTACTACCCTTATTTTACAGATGAGTAAACTGAAGCTTAAAGAGTTTAAGGAATTT